GTATGACGAAACAGATAATAACACAACCTACAAGGCTACAAAATTCAGTTCAGTTTTTAATATGGTACAAAACTAGTAAATATGGTGATTATAACAGATAGAAAAATCAATTACATTAAAAGAGTTGAATATGTTGAGCAGACTACGTCTCACTGAAACTGACAATGAGAAGAACAGAGATATTTATTTATCTCAGAGAAAGCAGAAACTCTAAGGATAGAGTTCAAGTAGCAAGATTTCGGCAGACTAGACAGACAAATTTAGAGAGATAATGACTATGATGGCTAAAGGGTCAACATTGTAAAGCCAATAAAGATAACCTTTCAAAACACTAAACTGATTAAAGCATGAAGGTTTTTCTTAACATGTCAATTTGAAATAACATCATTCCTCACTATTATTATTGAACTGCAATCCATGTCACCTGCCACTCACAAGTTCTACATGACAGCAGACCAGTGAAGTCTGCATCGCCTACTTGTCAACTATGAACATTTTCCTCCAGCTAGATACCTAAAACAGCTACATCTTCAAGCAACAATATCTGCAACTTTTCTGCTCCATACTTGTGTTCTTGAATTCTTGCAATCCAAGGTGTGGGGTAAAACAAACATAGGTGATTGTTGGGATGTGACCATCACATACCACAGCAAATAAATTGATTCATGCATTCCTCACATACATTCCTAAATAAAGAAGACTTTTCTGCTGACTATACAGTTAGAAACTAGTAGTTAGCAAATCACCTTCTTCATCAACCTTTGGGACAAACAGCATATACAGGCAATCACTCATCTGGAATCTCAGAATTGAGAACAATGTGAGTGAGCAGGATGTTTCCCTATTTTGATCTTTCATGATGTAACATTTTTCGTCTTTAACAATTTAATGCTTATATATTGGCCTCTATTTCACTAAAATAAGAATCTTCATCTCGATATATATCATGGGTGAACCACTCTTCAAAGAATTTATGGTGATTGTGTTTTTCAACAACACATCATATTTTATTTATGGCATTGTTAATCTACCCTATTGAATTTACTCAACTTATAGCATTGTTATTCAGCCAATTCATATCTTTCTCATGGAAAATGAAGGCCTTACGAAATTATACAACAGAAACCTATGTTCATTATAGATATGAACAAAATATATACCATTGCTATACAAATTATCTATTTGATGTCTTCTCAAAAAAAAATATATATATATATATATATATCTATTTAGATGCAAATCATGGCTGCCTACACAAATTCAGCTAGAAATTATAATTTTAGTATTTCTTTTCCATTCTGGTTGGCTCAAACACAAACCCTTTAGTCTCTGAACCAGGGCTCAGGTAGAAAGGATATTCTCTTCCATTACAAGCATACAGCATGCTCGAAATTAACGTGAGGATAAAGCATATTCCCACTAATTTTGTAAAATTTGAAGATAATGAGGAAGAAAATAAAGGATAAAATTATAATATTCTATATGACAAGGTATTAACTGCATGCCATCAATTAGAAAATTATGAAAGCAATGGACGTGAAGTACAAACTAATGTCCATTTAGTCTTGTGTATAGCAAAATTGCAGTCAGCTCTCACAGAAAGAAAGGATCTAGAGCATGGAATCTTTAATTTACCTTCAGAATGCGGAGTACACGTGAAACACTCTGTTTGATCAACCGCTGCTTCATTTCTTTACAATACATCAGCCCCACAGTTTCAACATAAATTTCAACATCCTCACAGTCATCGATTTCAAGGCAAGGTAAACCAGACTCTTGTTCAGAAAGTTTATCGGCAAAAAATCTGCTATTCTCCACTAGAACTTTCCTGTGGACACTCAACTTCACACAAAACCCTTGCTTTCCAAGTAGAATCACCTTCATATCACTTGTTCCAGGTTCACCAAATTCAATCGCCACCTTCCTTGGCACATTTTCTATCTTAGGCCTCGGTGTCCTCTCAGGCACCACAGGTGCAGCAGTAGCGGGATTTTCTGAGCCAAAAGTTTGTTGATCATCAGAAACAACACCTGATCTTGTCTGGGTGGTTGTTGGTTTCTTCTCTGTCATTGGGGGGTGTTTCTTCTGGACGGTTGTCTTGGGCGGTGGTGAGGATTTGGGCTTGTTCAGAGGATTTGGAGCTTTTGGGGTCTTTTGGAACACAACAGGAGATGGACAACACCAAAATCCTTCAGGGGTCACAGCAATTGGAACATTTCTAATCTTGGTTTGGCTTTGCTCTACCTTTGTAACTCTAATTTCAGCCATTTTTAGCAAGAAATTTACAGCATGATTTACCAGAAACAGTATATTAACAGAAGAGAAACCAGTTTCTAAAACATGGAAAATCTTGAACTCAAATTTATTCTCCCCACATCAACAAAAACTCCCAACTTATTCCAAATTGAATAAAAATTCAGAAATTTTATTTCAAAATCAACTGCAAAAAAATCTATAGACTTCAACTAAAATCTTTAAAATAGAGCAATTAAAAGTTACCAAAATAACAAGAACATATAATTTATAGGAAGGAAGAAAGTAAAATTTAAAAATATCTCCAAAAAAAAAAAAAACAATCTTCAAAGTTAAACTTCCTATCTCCTAACTGTAGCTTAAAGCCTCAAATCCCAGGCGATAAAGTGGAAAAAAATATAAATCTTATCTAGAAACGGGCAAGCACAGGCACTCTTTATACCCAACAAATAGAATCTTGAAACCCCCAAGGCGCTAAAAACTCACCAAGAACTGGGCTATTCTGGTACCTCCTTGAAAACCCATCTCCCAATCTCTTATTTTTATGCCCACGGATGCTTTAACATGATTGAGTGAAGGCTCCGGTGTCAAGCATCAAGGGAACCAGTGAGCAGGAACTTGCCAGAGAGGAACAATGAGTGCACTGCCACTGTTTTAATTCCTAAAGAGAATTCCCAAACAGAAACACCTCAACAAAGTGAAAAAGGAACAAACTTTAACACTGTTTGTTCCTCTCTTTGCTTTTTTTGATGATTGTTTCTCCTGTGGCCTTGTGGGTCGGTTTCATTCTTTGCAGGAAAAAGAGAAACTTTTTCCTCTGCACTCAAACCAGCATGCCTTAAGCCTTGTCCCTCTCCGTCCTCTTTCCCCCTTTTTCTTTTTTTCTTGTTAGGATCAATAAATGTAGAAAAAAGTGATTTTGGACCATACAACATTAACCATTTACATTAAATAATGACAAATGCTTTAATATTAGGCCTTCTTTTCCCTCTAATAATTCCCGTAAAAGCAAAAGACTCTCATAAGTATATTTTGAATTCTTCCTTTCATGGATTGTCGTTGCTTTTGTGGGTCGCAAATGAAGGTTTTTATCTAGATTATAGTGAACATCATTTTCATATATACACAATGACTGTATTACCCTTATGATACTGATAAATTGGGTTTGTGTAGTGGGAGAGGGGAAGGGCAATTTGGGGAGAGTTTAGGGGGGTTGAGAGTTGATTGGGTTAGGAATTGTGAGATGGATTGATGCCCCAAATCTTCAACTACATTCCTGTTTTCTTCCTGTTTTTGGTTTTGAAATATGCCTAATTTCAAGCATCCTTTATTTTCTATGAGGATTAAGATTTTTTTAGAAAAAACAAAATAAAAAAATTAAAATAATATATTCACATCTTGATTTGATAACTAGATACCTTTGTATAGAAGCATCCTCTTATTTTATCAATGAGACAGAATTGCAGATTCCAATATTTTTCACCTAATGCTACCAAAATCAAATCTTTGATGTTCTTAACAGAGCCTTTGATGGGGCCAAGCATTATTCAAAGTTCAAAATGATCCATGGGATATGGGAGACATCAAAGATGTTCCATTTGTTTAAATTGGCATTTGCTTTACAAAAGAGGATATGCAAATGGGAAAAAAGAGGGAGCACAATTCCACACAAAAGAAAGGATTAGTTAGCAGACCAAATATCCAAGCAGTTGTTGAACTCCTTTTGACTTTTTATCCTTTACATTTCATGACATTCTTTTAAAGCTTTTCTTGCTAGTCCTGCAAGTGCAATAATGGAGGTCTCAAAATGATGGAGAAAGAGTGCGATGTTTCATCATATAAAAAAAAGGGGAAAGCAAATTTGGAAGATGGCCTAGCTGGAATTCTGCCCCACCATTTATCATCATCACTCTTACATTTCACGTGGACTCCTATGTCATATGTTTTTTATCTTAAAACCAAGTGGTTCTGAAAAAAAAAAACCTTTTTGACCTTGCAAACCCTAGATGCATGATGATTAATCATTCCTCATATTAACCCAAGAATAGACCTAATTATAAGATGGGTCAACACTCCTGTTTTTCTTTGGGAATTTTTCTCATAATTTAGGCATCTAACTTGAAATTCATCAATTTATGCGTAGACAAACAGGCCAAGTTGCTTCCTTTCTCTGAAAACACCCATGTGACCATGGTCCCTGCCATGTTTCTCTACTCCATGCCCCAACAAAAGGAAAATACAGGCTGACAAGATTCTTCAAAGAGCATTTTTTTTTTTTTTCAGAATTAACATCATTCTTGGAAATGAAATGTTTGAATCAAGATGCCATAGCTTAGATTTTTTACATGTTGATCAAGGATATCATATAGAATATTGGACTGACTTTAAAAAATTGATATCAGATATTGGGCATTAATTAAGAAAGAAAACCATACCCCCAGGAGCTGTTTTTTTTTTTTTTTTTGGGGGCCAAACCCCGGAAGGAGTTGACTAACTGGAATTGTGTGCCTGAATGTACAGATCAGGTATTCTTTGAAATTCTGAAACAGAAAAAGAATGGCAAAATCCACAAAACTGTTCAGCTTGTGTTCCCTGCTGATGGCCATGCTCTTTTCTTACTCAGCATCAGTCCAGTTTAATGATCCTGGTACTCTCTCCTCCTTTTCCCCTCTCTTAATTTTTGTTCCTATGATATCACCTGTAATTAATCTCCTTCAATCTCTTGCTTGGTATAGACTGGTACTTTTGGTTCCCTCTCTATGCATGTGCTTGTGTTGTTAATCTGGTAAACAGGGCAATCTCACCCATGGGAAGAATCCAGCATTTGGCCAAGGGAACTCTATGGCTTGGAATATTCTTGTTTATAAAAGTTGTAGTTGAGGATCATTTGAGTGGAATAGCAGGATTCTTGTCATTAGATTTGACTGAGAGAGCTGTAAGAGAGAAAATAGGGAGTGGGTTGGTCATCACCTCCATGATTTTGCATCTTATAGCAACATCAGAACCATTGGATCCCAAGCAGAGGAAGGAAAACAAAGTCAGCAAATATGTAGGATATGGTGAGATATTCACGGACTATGTTAATTGTAATATACTCGAGTTTCTGAGCTACATGGCCTAAAAAATCATTTGATGATCTTGATTAAGCTATTTTATATACAGGGATGGCAATCTTGGTGGGATTTAGCTTTGGACATCCATTTGTCTTCCTGGTGATTCAGAAGGGAGAAATCAAGTTGTGAACAGAACGGAATGCCTGCAACAATTCCTTACTCGGTTCAGTAAGATACAATCGCAGTGACATCTCATATCATAGTTGAAAGACTGACTATTTTACCAATGCACCACCTGCAACCTTTGCATTCCAATTATGCTGTAACAGATGTCTCAAGAAAAAGAACATGGACAGATAACAACCATGCCATTGAATAGATGCCCCAGATTCATGTTGTTTCAGTATGCTATGAAATCATGCATGCATACAAGATAACAATTCAATTCATATTGACCGTACCAATAGCATTGCCAATGTAATAAAGACAAGAAATAACTTATAGGATTAGATTTATTAATAAACAAGTGTAATCTTATAAGTTATTAGATCTATCAGTAAATAAGTGTAATCTTATAAGTTATAACTCAATTTTAAGGTTTAAGTCTTGAAACTAGCATTCATGAAAATTAGATAAGAAAGAGGAAGAAAAATTAAAAAAGGGAGACTGGTATTGAAGCAAAGCGATTTTAAGGGATTACTCAAACTTCTATACATTGAAGGAGAAAATAAAAAACACCAGACGGTATCATCATAAATAATGTAGTTTTGAACACTACCATTTTATGCATCACAAAGAACTACCTCTCTGTTTTTCATGCTATGCTAACCTACCTAAGAACTGTGAACAATGCAAAAAAGAAAAAAATCTACCTATGCCTAGAAACCACCTCGGGCTCAAAAATATTGCGGGACAATATAAATAAATACATAAAACAAATTCAGCCTAGTAGTCAGCAAATTTTCATCCATTTACGGCTTGTCATTAAAATCATACACTTTACCACCATAAGAAAGCATTTTGCCAGTTTACTGACAACAGCTTTATGCAAGAACGACAGCCTAGTAAGTAGGAATATCCCCTCAGCTTTGTGACCGATTCAATTCAATGGAAGCATGTACGAATAATCCATCCTAGAGTCGAGCATTCTCATTTTTTAATAGAACCTGAAAGTCTGTATGCTGTAGAGAACACAGTGGAGCTGACTAACAATTTAGTGAACGCGACCCCGGCACTTGGAAGCTCCACACTGGCATGGATATCCATCTCCAGGTAGTAGCTCATACCGAAAATCACAAGTCAATTCTTCACCGAGGGCTATCTGCTCATAAGATGGTCAAATGATAAAACAAGACTTAGTATGAGTATGATGCTAGAGTAGTGGAAGCCTTCCATGGATGCAAATTGCTCTCATGTTAAAATTAAGACCAATATGTGGAAATCAAGATAGTATGAACAAACTACCTAAAAATGCCCAGAAAGCTGCCAATGCAAAATAATAATAATAATAATAATAAAATGAAGGGAGAAGCTGCCAATGGAAACATAAACCCAAAAAGGTCTTTTAGCAGTTAATCAGTGGAACACCTTTCCCCACCCAGCACATTAAACTCAATTATTTACATCCAGAGTTCCTGAAGAAAATAGATTGAACCAAAGAGTATCCTAAGTATTGCTTATATAATTATATGGCATATTTACCCTCTATAGGACAGAGTAGATGCTTACATCTTGACTTGCATAGAGACCAATATGAGCACGATGACAATCCATGCTCTCCACAAGAACTTGATGATTCACAAGATTTGGTGAGCAGCTACCAGTAGGGAAACAACAAAAAAAAAAGGTTAAAAAGGAAGAGCACATCAAACAAAAGTCAACATAAGTTGAAGAAAGAGATGGATAGAAGAAACAAGCAAGCATGCACGGTTAAAATTGAACCACCCAGCAGCACTTTTCTTCCATAGGGCCATAAATGCTAAGTCTCCTACAAATTGAAAGTCAGCATTATACATGACTTATTTTGAAAATTTTCACTCAAATTGGTTCAATGTTTTATTTAAAACTGCAAGACAGGCAGCACTAATTAATATCAATTGCAAGAAAAATCTTTTGGTAGGAATGTGCGAGAACACACACCAGTCTAAACTATTTTTCCTTATCTTTGGTTTGGTCAGGGATTTATTTGCTTCGTGTTTCATTCTGCTTCTGTTTTACATTTCCATATATTGGTTACGAGATGATGAAATCTCAGTCCTCCAGACATAGAGATGGAACCTGATTCCTTTTTCCGAAACTTAAGAAATCTCTAGTCCAACTGAAGGCATCATGGTTCATGCTATGCACACCTAAAGGCATCAACCTCATAACACTTTGCACCAAATTTTATGAAATAAGGTGCTGCATATTACATTATTTGATTAAGATCAAATGGTTGCCTCGCTATATCCTTAGAAATACTAAAAACCAAAGCAAGCAATACAGGACATGATGCTGAAAAATCTGTCCTCACCTATGATTGATGAAACGAGAAATATTTCCACACTTGGTAGCATCAATTACAAATCGATTCTGCCCTTCAATCAATCTGCTCATATCATTGTTATGAGAGTCAATGTTATACATATAGCTGCAATCTTCTCTACCATACCTGAAAGAGTTCAAAATGTTATATTCAAAATAGAGAACAAAGACAGGAACACAGTGAAAATGGAACCATACAAATCAAAAGGCAAAACCTTGTAAATCTCTTGTTTGCCTCATGCTCATCCAAAATCTCACCAACGTACTCACATACAAATGTGCCCCGCAAGATTGTCTCACGTGCCCTTACTCCCCAACCCTGAACATCAACGTATAGTAAAGTTAACCAATGATACTCTCAAACACAACAAGAATTGAAAGCATTACCTTATTTTTGGTTTTAAAGACTTCTAATTTCACTCGTACTCCATTCTGCAAAACCCTATTTGGACATGTTCCCTTGCAACTGCACATGCTATTGCATTCATATACAAGGTAACCCTCCTGTACAATTTTAAAGGACACGTTGAATGTCAACCTTCACAAACATGTCAAGCAATCCTATCTGCCAGTCAAACAGCGCTCCACAAAAGAAGGAACTAGTGAAACAAAGCATGTGTACTACCTCCTATCTGATTGGCTTCCAGTCTGACCATATATCATGTTAAAAGGTTTGAACAGTGAAAATATCTTAAGTGAATGAAAGCAAAATTATATTTAGATGGTCAAGTGAATGAAATCAAGGACATGTCATCGCTCTAATTCATGTGCAGTATGACCAACAATATAAGCACGCCCAAGAACTACACCATTCTTACAACAGAAATAGTAATGGTTAAGAGTTCAAGAATCATATTACCTCCAAGATAATCCGCCCTTTGTCATCATAAGGAAATCTTCCACACATGGGTTTCCCATATATGTCCCTAGCATCTTCATAATCATTATCAAAGAGATAAAAGTGGTCACATGTTTCTGGACTGCATGTTGAATGTGAGCAGCCACAACCCAGTTGTAAGCTCTGTATAAGGAGATGATAAGCATTTACTCATATAAAGGGGAAAAAAGATGAGTTATTAATGTTTTTTACCCACTTTTTAATGTGACCAAAAAAATTATGGACTATATGAAAGCATCTACAAATTGGTCGAGTAGAAGCATGCATCATGACAGGGTACATCTCTCTTTATAATGAGTTTTATTTTTGCCTCTGTATTTATATGTGTGTGCACGCACAAAACAAGAAAGCCATTTGTCAAGCAGAAAACATGTTTCCTGACACAGAATCACCATGCAGTTCAAGTACATATAATTGGAGGAAAAAAATATAATGTCTGTTATGTCCCTGTAAAAAATTGCACCAGACAAAAGGATATATAACTGATACAAAAAAGATACCTCATTATCAAGATCAAGAGATTGATCAAGCAATGGTTTCGTAACATAAGTAAAACTCTTCCAAGGCATGGATAGAGCATTTTCGCCACCAGAACCATTACCATAGATGCCAAGGGAATCTAAAAGACACTCATCAACTACGCAGGCAACTGGAACTGCTTCCTTCCCAAAGCTTATATCATCACACAACACACTGGTCTTATGCCTGGGAGATTGTCTTAGATGTTCTGAATCAATAACAAAGTGACACTCATCCAATTCCCACTCCTTGCTTACATGATCCAAGGAATCTGTTGAGCAGAGCCTTGTAAAACCATTTAGAAGAGGCATCAGGGGAGACATCAAATCTGGATCCTTGATAAGCTTACATCCATTAGCACATACAAATTCTTCTCGGTGCCACTCCACTTGAATGTTGTGCTCACTACAAAGCTTGGCTGCCTTGAGGTACACACTTTCTGGTAACACTCCATACTTCTTCTCAAGTGAAGCTTTGAGGCTCACTTTGCAACAAGAAGTTCGAACAATGGATAAAATATCAACATTACTGGGACGGGGCTTTGCTTTATGAATTTTTGATAATAACATTTTTGCAACATCCGAACATTGAGATCCTACTAATTGACCAAGATTTACTGTCTCAGTTATATGTGGCTGGACGCTTATGACCCCAGTGCTAAGTAACTGTGAAGCCTGGAGGCGTTTCTTCATTGTGGCAGTTGCTCTATTTCTAATCCGATATGAAACAGCCCCCAGACCTTTCTTAAATTGAGGGCGGCTAAGTCTCCCAGATTTTAGTTTATAAGCATAATAGCGAATACCTTTCTTCAGGGGGCGAGAGCCAACTAAACCAGGTCCCATATGAGCAGCCTGATGGTGCCGACCAAGATCAGGTAGCAAATCAAATTTCAACCCACAAAACCTGCAAATCAACTTTCGAAGGCCACCTGAATTCTCAGAGCTATTCTTATTCTCCGTAGAAACTTTATTTAATGTCTCAACTTTAGCTGGAGGCTCCTCAGGTTTGGACATATTAGGTTGCTGAACAACATTAACCTTTGATAATCTAAAATCAGCAGAATGACTTGATTGGACATGCGACCATAACTGTTCAGTATTGCCAAAATGGCTGCCACAGGGAATGCATCGGAGAAGCAAGCAATGTTCAACAAATGGCCCATGGTGTCTTTCCTGCATATGGGATTCCAAAACTTTCTTGTTAGTAAAAGAATCCAAGCAGATTGCACAAGCATAACCTCTAAAAAACCATTGTGCTTCTTTTTTATGGTTTTCTAGCCAGTGGCTGCCAAGCTCTCGGTCATCAAGAAATTCCACAGAACAGATTTTGCACCTAATGGTCTCCTCATTGTCACAGCTTCCGTTGATGCCTGATGGCAATGGAACTGATTCTTCCTTAACAGGGGACATTGGTGCACCTTCTTTGGAACTGAAAGCCCATAATTGTTCAAGTCTCTCCTTTTCACTGCTGACCAATTTCAATAAAATTTCCCCAACACCAAAATCCTTTGATGCTTCAGAAAGGGCCCACTGAAGTTGGACTTCCATAGGAACTGAGTTTCTAAGGGATAAAATACTTTTAAAGAGCTTGTAGAAAAGCTCACATGCTTGGTGCAAGTGCAATTTTTGCTCAAGAGAACAACAGTTCTTCAAAAGATCTATAAACACTTCTTTTGATACTATCCTACTCTTACCATTCCTTGCCCGCTTAAGCCAGCTTGGAAGGTGTTTATCACAGTACAGTGAATACCGCTTTGGATTTTCATGACATGAATGGAAACCACTTTGTGAATACAAGCCTAGGCAATGATGTATTTGAGTGATATTACAATCTTTAATAGGATGCTCAGGCTTCTCAATTAGATTGTTGCTTCCATGGAAGGCATCGGATTCCAGTATTGACACTGGTTCTACTTGTAAGGGGCTTTCACCATCTTTTAGCAAAACTATGTCTCTGCGACTTGGGGTTTCTGAACTAGGATTAATCTCCTCATGCTTCCGCTTAGGTGCATGATCTAGAGAGTTATGGGTGCTATTACTATAATTTTTGAGTCTGTGCTTCTTGCAGAATGAAGAGCCATAAAGGGAACGATGCTTACACCTTGTACCAAGAACAGTGGTACCTTCACACATTGGTGTATCAATAGAGGGTGTCCCTTCTGTTTTTGCAGAGCTACCTGTGAAACGAGAGGCCAAGTGCACACAACAGTAAACATCACCATCATTTGCCCACCTCACACACTGCCTTCCCTTAGACTCTATAAATGCTATACATTGCCGGTTTTTATTCCCAGCATCTAAGGATTTCTTAGGAACCACTTCATTAACAGGTGTCAAATCCACATCTGTTCTGTGGATCTGCAGATCCATGGAACTTTTACCCTCTTCATTCACTGTAGTCACTTCAAAATTGACGTTTTTGATGAGCTCAGAATTCCCTGCTTTAACCTCAATTCCATCCCATCTGCCAGTTGAACCATTTGACACATCTGTCTGTGTGGAGTCCTTCATAAAATCTCCCACTTTAATAAGTTCTGCTGTTGACAAATTGGCATTTACAGTATCTCGACTACTAAAAAAATCAGAGTCAATCTCAACAGTCATGGTTTGATCTGAATTATTGGTTTGCACCTGGGAAGCATGTGTCTCTGCACGACGAACTTCAAGCTTAGGCCTCTTCTGGCTAACTTGAGCATTCAAGGAACCATCACTGCCTCTTGGCCCTATACCTCCTGCAGTGGATATAGGATGAGATGTTGAAAACCATTTCATAACTTCATGCTTCCAGGTTTTCCACTCAGAACCCAATGTGGGCTGAACAGGTGCATCCCAAAGTGACCTGACCTCATTCCACAGAATAGAATCAAACAACTCCTGATCAAAGAGGAGGGAAAAGAAAAAAATGGAAATCAGCTTTTACAATAAATTAATTGGCTGTATTCTACCTGATGGTAAGCAGAAAAATGAATTTCTCACTCCCACTAGCAAAAGAAAGTTGCATTATGACCCCATGGCTTATCTACAACATTCCAAGAACTTGACACACAATATAATCCTAAGAAGCAAGAAAAGCTCTGGGACAGTTTAAATCTATAATTTATTCAGTATTTCCTCTACCATAGAATTGGCTCGTTGGATACTTGTAGAAGAAACAGGCTTGTCCATCAGTAATAATATATTAGACAAATGTAAGGAAAATTACAAGAGAATTCTGTTTAATCCACACAAACATCTTTTCAATCATCAGGATGTTATTCATTTTTGTCAAGAAGCTAGCAAATAGACATTTTTCATATACAATTTTCCACAATCCATCATTTTTCCAGCAAGCACAGAAGGGACCAATCATGGTAAAATTACCAAATTACCGAAACATAAAGAGCATAGTCCCAGTGTCCAGGAAAAATAGTATTTTTCATCTCAAATAGCATACACCAAAGCAAGACAGTCAATTCTGTGTGAACAAATTTAAACGCTGATGTTTTCTTTTCATCATGCTTGCATATGTATGGCATACATATATGACAGTGTGCTTCTATGTCCATATAGTGTCTACAAAACGCTACACAAAAATTTAAAAAACAATCCTAAAATGCCACTCTTTTTAGATAGAAGCCTTCAAGTCCTTACCACAAGTATTTTATTATTTATCACATCATGGTCTCGCAATCACGTAAAAATTGATGCCAGAAACACTTATTTAACTTCATGTATTGCCAGAATCATTTCTATCAAGTAACAACCATGCTTCACAACCCACAGGTCAAGGACAGGAGACAATATCTGATGTTAAATAGAATTTTCAGCATTAGTGTCTATGTACCTCCTTTAGCAATTCAATAGATTCAGCACTCTGTGCATTTTGACAATGTTGCACCCAAGAATGAAAAGAGTTCTTTAACCAATCAGAGTTTATGTAGGACTGCAATATCATCTGCATGGAAAAGAACTGTCATTATTTTATTCTTACAGGGTAAAGTACTCAATGAATCAGAGACGAGGAAAAATATCAATGTGCTGGTGGCATTCTGGCAGCAAACTTTGATAGTGAAAGTAGTCACTAAACTCACTTCCAGAAAGCATTGAAGTCAAAAAACTAAGGATTTGTAAACTTTAACATTCAGCTCCAATGGGATCAAATTCCCCATACAATTACAAATAACTGATAAAAAAAAAAATAGATATATAACTAAAAGTATTGAATCGAAAGAATACAAAGTTAATGACCATGAATTTCAGTAAGTTAGTACAAATTTGTAGGTTAAGTTATTTAGTTTAAAGCACTTTTAGATTCAGGGAAGAAAGGTATGGCAGAAGACTTCCTTTATGAATATCATTTAATGTTCCTGCATCCCATCTTCAGTTAGAATTATTTCATGTGGCTTTATGCAGATCAACCAATCTGGATCACATGCTACACATTTTTCATCTAAAGAAAGTGGTTCTTGATGCATGTCAACTGGGAGTGGGATTACCCTTTGAAGCTTCAAAAGCATCCTTCCAAGATCTGGATAAACATTGCAATGCGAAGCCTCCTTAGCAAAGTCCTTCCAAACATTCACATCACGAGCTGTCTCTATCAAGGCCTACATCATTTGGAATAGATCCCATGCAAGAATAAAGATGTAATATATAGCATAGAGAAAAAGATAAAAATTCTCACCAGAGATATATAAATACAATATAATATACTCTATATATATATGTGTGAATGGAAGGGGAATCTAATCAATACCTCAGAATGAAACTGGTCAACTATATTCAGCATTCCAACAGCTAGCTTTTGCATTATGTACCGTCTTGCAACTGTCAAATCTTTAACCATTTTTAGTCCAACTTTGTGACTCCGATATGCAATAGGCTCTGGAAACTCATTAATAGATTGGACAAGCAGCATGTCTGCCCAAGAATAATTCCTGGTGTGAGGAAAAAATATCACAAAATATTGCTTCCGGTCGTGAGTTGGTTTTGCTTTTAAAGTAGATAATGGCCAGTCAACCCTCGCACATCTGATTCCTGCCTGCCATTTCCCTCTCCACTATACTTGGAAAAAGACAAGGTAACCAATGTGAAAATAAATTCAGCAATTATTTCTCCTTTTCTAGCAAAGAAAAAGAACCAACAAAGTATGCCCATCATAAACAAATTTCTTTGAGGGATCTCCCAAATCAGGAAAGTCACACGGTAAATATTTAAATGATATGGTAATGGGAATTTAAAAGGACAATGCATCAAGCACACATGTGATCAATACATTGAAAATGAAGAGAAGACATGTGGTAAGACCAGGTCCTAAAACCAGTGATACAAGTTTGCAGAATGCAAGCCAAAAGTAAAATGAAAGAAAAAACTCGAAATTTTACCTTGACCCACAATGCCACAGATTCATTATTTCCTAGCCACTTGGGCTCCGATGAAGTTGACTCTCCCTCCTTACTGCTCATTGGCAATTCACTTTCAACTGTATCCACAAGAGAATGAGAGTTTACAGGGGATAGGCATGGTCCCAAGCAGCAGTTCTGTGCATTTCGATCATCATCTTTAAAATCACATGAACCAGAAGATAACATTTGGCTCTCCACCTGATGTTCATTAAATAAAGATCCATAATGGTGTGCTTCTGAAACTCGTAATTCACCCCTTGTCCCCAGACCATCATCCTGTCTTTCTTCTGGATTTCCTTCCTCTAACAACTCATCTGTTCTGTCATTCTGCACTTGAACTAGTTTTCTCTTTTCAAAGCAGTCATTAGATTCTGTTTTGTAAACAACATCTGCTCCTGAACTCTGTTGAGAACAATCAGAATCACCAACATACTGAACACCAGAACAAGGAAGCACTTCCATGATTCAAATAAAATTTCTAGAGCAGTTTAAAGTGCACATAATCATTGATCATTCCACATGTCAGCTTCCTGTTCATGAAGTTCAACCCCATAGAGTAGTCAGTTGATGAAAAAGAAACCCTATAAAGGATATATAGTGAAGATTGAAACAAAATAAATCAGTGGATAAAAGTAATGTAATATTAGATGAATATGTGGTTTAATGAGCATCAATTTGTATGAAACATTTAATTTTTGATGCATTTAACACTTGTAGTAAGACCTAACAGTGAACTGATCACATACTGCTCCCTGTATTATACCATGAAACACCATGTAGAAAACACTGAACATGAAAACTGTGGCTTTCATGGTTGCAATCAACAAACAGATTCACTGGTCACTGGCTCATTATAAAGATCCCACTAGGTAGGGAAAAATTTTCATATTGCAGAATTTAACTAAACTCTGCATGCATTTCAGAAGCAAAGCCTGCAATTAATAATGTGGTAAACACATTTTGTGATTAAATTTTTGACTTCACCTCAACGCATCACACAAACACAACAAGATGAATAACTAAAGCCAAACCAACATATGAACCTAAAGCGTTAAGGGAAGCCAAGAAATCAAGTACATGGACTTCCAGCTTCAAAATAACATAACTTCTCAGAAGATAAAGGGTCTAAGATAAAGGTCACTTGATTAAATGTTAAATTTAACTTTGGTTATGGCCAAAAAAGGAAAAGAAAGAAAATTCAATAATAGTTCAGCGCATCAGTCATATAATTATTAAGCAATTAGAGGAATTCTGATTATTATGAATATAATTGAATAAATTTATATAAATCAATTCCATGTTTCTTCTTTTTCTAAAATAATTCCAACAATTACTAGTCCTCACAATACTTAAGATGATGATTTTTTGAAATTTTATTATTCAAAGTTTCTAATAATTTAAAATTGTAAACTGCATCCAAACCCAGATTTGATACTTAAAAGATGTACAAACATGTTTAATTGAAACCAAGGATCCCCGCCAGCTACAGCTCAATTTTAAGCTCTTAATTAATAAATGACCATTTCTATGATAGCAATAAATTCATAAAAATGAATAATCTAATCTTCAGAAATGTATAAAAATTAACAAGGCTAATCTTGTTCATTACCCACTTGAATAACCAGACCCATTCATGTAGAAATATAACTAATTACTTTTAAATCATAAATTCAAATCCACAACTCAACTAAGCCCTAACCCTGATTCAGGTTGGCTGAATTCTTCTCATTTTGACCAAAATTTTGAATGTTTTAGATATCAAGACTCATTAAATGGGAAAAATAAATTATGATTTAAAATAAATAAATAAATAAAATCAACTTAGGTTAAGAAGCAATTATTAGTTAAACAAAAACCAACATAGGCCTTATCAAGGTTTGGGATTTCCTGCTTATATCAAAATAAAAAGGAAAAAAAAATTGTAGAGCATCGACACGAAACCTAATTAAAAGGCCACTTATTTTCACCAAAATATATTATGTTCATATCATAGCATGATAACACTGTAACAGGAGGTCTCTCAATAGACCGTGACAGCGAAACTACAAGAAAATGCAGCAAGACTAGACCTTTTTCGAGGGAAAACGAAAAAGATCCTAGAATTCATCCGGAAATTTTGATCTTTTTCATGGATCATTAGCCAAACCCTTAATACCCTAAACCCAGATACAAAATTGTCACAAAATCCCAGCTTTATTAACAAATTACACCGCTAATTTGTATATCTATGAAGGGAAAATCTGTAAGGATTCACATTATGTTAAAAACCATAAACCCAGATGTTGGATAACATGGCAAGTGGGTCCAAACCCCAAATCAAAAATACAGTGAGAATCCCTAATCATATAAGATATAGCAAGTATAAAAGGAAAAGGAAAATGGAAATCAATGCCCAAAACAATTCCCTAATGAAAACGTACAATCGAGGGAGGGTTTGTCACTTTAGGATGTACCGTTCCTGGGTGGGCAGTGAGTGCTAATAATTTTGGGTATCCAGCAGAAACAGATATATGGGTCACCAAAGATTAAAAATTGACTGCAAAAATGTGACATGTATGTCAAAACATGATACGGGTATAAGCCAAAAGTAACAACAGAGTGAAATAAAGAGACATAGATATGGAATGAGGAGATGGGTTTGTTCCCAATTTTTTTTTACAAAAAAAAAAAAAGAATGGAGGATGAATCTGTAACTGTAAGGGCAGGCCAAGGCCAATGTACCTTTAAGAGGAGATCACCTGTTTTTCCATGGTTGTTGGCATGTAATGAAATTTGTGAAGGGTACCCTTTTTTTTTTTCAGTTTTTATTGGGCTATAAAAGTCTAAGTTGATGAGCAGGTTCGGGTATGTTCCGTGGCCTATATTGAAAGAAAGAGATGTCAGAGGAAAAGAGCAACAAAACTTTGTGTATATACGTGTGTCAAAAACCGAAAAGACCCTACAATGTATGTGTGATCTGGGTTTGGTCTCAAATGAGTCGGGAAGATTGAGAGATGAGCTTTTGAGTTAGAGATGTGCAAAATTTTGGGGATTCATGGAGATGGGTTTAGGTTAGGGGTGAAAAAATTTGAGAAAGATGAGATATGGTTTCGGAGATTGTACTTATCGAGAGAGGAGGAATTGCAGGTCAGGTTGTTTTGGTCAGTGTGTAATTCTGCAACCCAAAACCAGGGCCCTGATTATGCCCCGTCGTCTTGGTAACTCTTGCAACTTCTCAATCACCAAATATAATTATTAGAAATTCATATAATGCCATTTTTTTGGGTTTATTTTTTTGGATAACTTTTGGTGTTAAATTGGTCCCTTAATTTTTTTTATTGATTCATCATTAAATAAGGATTGAGGTTATCATTATTATTAATTTTTGTTAAAATTATCAATTTTATTTATAATTTTATTAATTTTTA